CGCGGCGTCATCTCTGACCCAATCGACGTTAAGTGCGGAGTGCCCCAGGGCTCAGTACTTGGTCCACGACTATTCCTGATTTACATAAACGATCTCGCGACAGTAATCACCTCCAACTCCTTACTCTTCGCTGATGATCTCAAGATATGGCGAGCCATTAGAACAACCAGCGACAATGCAGCACTTCAGGATGATCTTGACAGGGTCTACGAATGGTCGACTCAGAACCTGCTTCAGTTCAACGCTACAAAGTGCAAGGTGTTGAGCATACGCCATAAAGCCACTTGCGAATACAGACTGGGGGATCAAATATTGCAGCGCACTACAACGGAATGCGATCTAGGAGTGGTAGTGCAGGAAGATCTGGGCTGTTCCCGTCAGGCCGAGAAAGCCTCCAAAAAAGCTAACCAAAACCTTGGCCTTTTGCGGAGGGCATTCGGGCGCTTCGATCCTTCCATCTTTTCTCAGATGCTCAACGCCTACATTCGGCCTCATTCTGAGTACGCCATCCACGCTTGGCAGCCATGGCAAAAGCAAGACCTTACCGCTCTTGAACTGCCACAACGAAGGGCGACCAAGAACGTAAAGGGCCTGTTTCATCTCCCTTACCGATTGAGGCTGAAAACCCTCGGGGTCTACAGTGGACAATATCGACGCCTGCGTGGCGACTTGATAATGACTTATATGATCCTGAGGAATCCAAACCATTGTTGTCGTCACCTACTAAAGCTGAATAGCAATACAACACTCAGAGGACACCAGCTAAAGCTGGCCACACAATACAGCCGGTTGGAATGCCGCCGGAATTTCTTTTCCCTTCGTGTATGCGAACACTGGAACGCTCTTCCCACATACGTTGTTTCTTCCCCCACGCTAACGGTATTCAAAAGACGTCTGGATGATTCGCTTATCCACCTACATTACGCTATATAATCAGAGATGTCCACGTCAAACAAACGCGAAAAAAACGGTGCTCATTCTCAGCTTTTGTGCTTCACTATTTACACACTGCTGTTGTGGAATATAGTTTCGGATATATTACAACTGCATTCATCAATTTACCCCAGTCCAAGAAAGCGGCGCACGAGTAAGCGTTGGTCGTTTCTCTTGTTCTTAAGACATGCCTTACCCATATTACTTCCCATATTACTCTACAGTAACAATTCAGTACACATTCTACAACGTTTATATGAATAAGGGGCACTTGAATTCACTAGACGCTTAAACTGACGATTTACACTTATGTTTACTTTCACTTCAACCATCCTACGGGACTTGTAAAGCAATCGCTTTTTTACCTGTAATATATCATTGTTCATTGTACTCGCTGATGTGTTAAACTGGTTGAGGAAATGTTCCTATGCGCTAGCCGATGCTTCGTCTGCCCGAAATGTCCAGTTGGTTGTCTCAGATAGTCGAGCTAATATATCGTGGCGTATAGTCGTACGCGTTGCATCGGCAATTTCCATGAGATATTCTACATAACAATGTATTCGAAGAGTAGGTCTACATGATCACTGCGATTCAAAGAGATGCCGACAATTACCCTCTCCAACATCAGCTTTTTTTGTAAATATCCGATCCAGTATAGACTTCTTATCTGTTGCTCTGAACCTGGTGGGAGTGTTCATGTTGCCATACAGAAGAATACTAGGGACAAAGTCTTGTTGATCCCGCTCTCCAGGAGCAGATAAGGATTGCAGAGCGCTGATGTTGAAATCCTCTGTAGTAAGAATGTGAGTGTACTTCCTTTGTATCACTCGCCTTAATGCGGATGCCAGATCGAAGTCCATCTCGAGCGTGGAGGAGGGAGAGCGGTAAACAACTGTCACCAAGCAGGCGTCATCGTCTTTTAAACGTGGACGGCACAAGAGGGAATCGTGTATTGTTTTAATCGGATCCTCTATGGGCTCACATTGGAGATCACTGCGGAAGTACGGAGCCACCCCTCCACCTTTGCTGGGCCGATCGCGCTGAACAACGGACATACTTGTCAGTGCAATCTCAATGTCAATTATGTCGAGGCGTAACCATATTTCCGCTGCGGCGATGAGATCTTAGGCACTTGATCATTGACAAAGTCGCAATTCAGCAATTTTACTAAGTAAACCTCTGATCTTGACTCATAAGGCGTGCCTTGATGCACTCGAAAATAACTTATTTGTTTATTTATTAATATACACACAGGAAACCTTCCTGTATGTCAAAATCTATTGACGAGGAGCATATGAAAGAGGTGGATTTGTACCCACCGTTGAGAGGGGGCACCTAATCGTTTTTTGGGTGACTTACCGAATCTCGATATGAATGCGCTCAGTTTTTGATACTTGCATCTGCGATATGTAGTCCTTATTTAGCTTTCTCAATAGCTACTGGTCTTGATGCAGTTTTTTGAATCGCGATTGTACTTATATTGCGTAGCGAGCGGTGCTGTTACCGTGAGCACAGCGTGTGGCTGGGGATCTATAACTGCTGTCTTCTGTTGTAGTTCCAAATGAAGCGTGTTGCGTATTATCTCCCAACTGCAGACTAAATTTACCCCATCTGTTGTGGCTGGACCATAACTTTCACTATCCTCTGGCCACTGCTTTGTAGTGTGACGACACTGGTAACCGCGTAATCAACTGAAACGTGACGTCACCAGAAGAGACAGCTTCTCGGATGCACTGCCATTCTTCTAGGTCATGAGCATGGGCTTCTTCGTCGGTAGATGCCGCTAGCTCAGACACGCCATGATCTCTCCATGTAGTAGATGTTTAAATTACTTTTGTCGCTATGGCGTTCGCTCTACGAAACATCGGGAAATATGCGTATCCCACTCTGTTCAGTCAGCGGGCAATATGCCAACAAAAGCACAGTCTCGGCATCATATGTGGATCCCAATGTTACTCGAATTAGCCTGGACTCCCCGTATTGTATCGAGGTTAGAAATTTAACGCTGTGCATTAAATTAGTCGTTCTGGCCCGAATTCCGATGCGATCACAAAGGAAATTTCACTGGTTTAAATCAGCCTGCTGTTTATCCCTTAAAGTATTTGACTTGGACTCAGGAACGTTGGTGCATATAGATGTCCAGGTGTCGTACTTCCGCCTGGTCTTCGGTGATGTGAGAGTCACGGTTATCGACGTTCTTGCAGGTTGCACCTGGTGCTTAACCCGTGTTCTGGATGTGCAGGGTGAGGCTACTGAAATCGCACTTTGCTTTGATACAGCAGCAATGGTTGCATCAGTCTTCAGAGCGCTTCGGATTTCTTTAGTCATCCGGGAGGTGGGTGTTACCAGCGCTGCATCAGTCGGTACAGTGGATAAGAGGATGTGAGCGGTGGGGCTGAGCAGCCTTCGATCGCTGGCGACGACGACTTGCTTCATGGTTTCCAAGGTCTCATGTACTGTGTGACCGTGGGAACTTCCGGCCCCTTTTCGTGGTTTTAAATCGGCAACTGGGGGAGACGGATGATGTTCAAGCTGTGCTATTGCCGCCTACATTGAACTAACTTTCGCATTTAAACGCTTTCCGTTTCCGCGACTATGCTGTTGTATTTCTGTGTTAATGCTAATATACATTTTACAAATGGAACCATCGTGCACTTAGGACAGAACCAAAGTGAACCGAGCGCACTATTAAATTGCTTTATTTTGGTTCGACAGACTTTGCTGCACTTGGATATTAGCGGCTGTTGTAATGTGAACAAGTCAAACCTACGTTTATTACCTTAGCATATTTTTGATTAGCACAAGATACTTTGTTTCGGGTTATCAGTGTTGTGACCATGATGGCTGCATGGCCGTTGCCATTGACGGCTGGCGCTCGGTCGCCGATCGTCAGGTCAACGTCGGACTTCTGGCTCATCGTGCTATGGGTGTTGTGTCCTTGCATCATACGACAGGCTGAGGCAGCTGTTGTAAACAATGGTTGGGCTGCGAAGCTCGTTTGCTCACACGGACGGAAATCAGGAACGGCGAAGTTTGTCGGTTGCTTCACTGAGAGAGTTTCACAAAGGGAACGTTGTTTGCTCCGTTGCTGTAACACAAGATGATGGAGTGAGACGAGTGAGGGCTTACTCGAAAACTGGGAGACTCCTTTAGCCAATGAGGACCAAATCTTGTATGGTTGATTATAATTACTTGATATTGCACGATAGAATAAGGGTGAAAAACTGCCCAAATTTTTAAAGCTGGTGGAAACAATATCTGCGGGAATTATTCTAGCAAAAGTGCTTCCAGCAACTGGGGCTCGTCAAACCGAGACGAAGAAGTGTGAATCCGGCAGCGTGCGATAAAATCGCACTCCGTACATGCGAAACTCTCAGGGTACGATATGGAGCGGTCATCTCATGAGCACCTGTCAGAAGCTGCTTAAATTGAGTTAACTAACGACTGAAAGAAGCGCTGTTGCTCCCTCTCGCTTTTACAGCTGGGGCCCTCACCACCCAACACATGCTTGATTAAAACATTAGATTACACGGACTAAAGTTGGCACCATTCGCACGTTTTTAGTCGTCTCTCATCTCAACCAGTTGTGTAAAGTATTTATGATGATTAACTGTGGAACAGGCGAGGCCACGAGGAATTTGCCTCAGAGATGCCTTCTTATCCACCATTTGAGGCTGCACAACTTAGCAAACCGCAGCCATCTTCGTCTTACTCGGTTGCTTAGGGCACTAAGGCACTAATTTAGGTCCACGCTCTCTTCATTTGCTAGCCCGGAATAGTGAGGTCGTTGTCGTTATTCACGAGTTGCAGACGCATTGCTGCTAATCATATCGTAGATCTTCAGTATTTTCGCCCCTAAGTGTGAACATATACGGGGAGATATAAACCCTACTAGTGAATTCCGCACGAGCCATGTTTTATCCTAGAACATTTTCTTACTGCCTTGAAGAATTCTTTAACTGTGACGACCACAATTTCAAAGCTAGTGACGCTAGCCGAAGAACTATTACGATGGCTGTCAGTTAGAAGGTAGCATCTCTCGCAAACAACTACTTCTTGCTCTTCAGATGGAACGAAACAATGCCGACCGCAAACAAGTAAGACAGGAACTGGAGACTGATTTCCTAGCAAGACTTCGAGAGTTTCCTACGGCGCCACTTGATGAGGTATGTGCGACGGAAGAAAAGCCTCTCCCACACAAAAGTGCATTATCTCCACAGAAGGAAATAGTGAGTTTCAGTGAGAAAGCAGTCATCTTCCTTCACTACGATCTACTGTTTCATAACCATCACAAAATATTATATTTCCACTGAAAGTTTTGGTTTTATACTAAACCTGTTTCCGTTGTTATGATGATATCTTTATGAGATTATTCACACCGACTCCCAGCACGTCTAAGAAGATTAACTTTCGATGCAGAGCGAGAACTAATATTAAGCGTCTGTACTAATTTGAAATAATCCCAAACTAAACGCACTGCCAGCACATTTGTTTTGCTCAGCGATGTCTTTGTACAATTGGAGTGATCAGTTGTAGTGAACGAACTGGGTTCAAGCGCCAAATCCTGGAAGCAGCGGTTCTTCCATACACTGCCTTGAGGCAGACTGTTCTGTACGTTACCGCACCAATTGTTATGCAGTGCTCAGTGACCTCGGTATGAGACCTTCGGTTATTTCAGTGGTTCTCAACCTTATCGTGGTTCACTATAATTACCCCCAAATTGTTTTAGTTTAACTGGTAATCACCCAATAATTTGCATCTATTTGCTTTAAACTACGGAAAATGAATACTACTTTTAATTAATTCCTATCATTCAAATAAGGAAAACGCCTATATTATAGAAATTTTTTATCAAATCAAGAGGTGCTGCAGCTTAAGCAGATGGCTACTAATGTTTAGCTCTGACACTTTCCGCTATATTTGGTAAGGTTTCGGCTAACGCACGCCGAGTTATGCTCCAAATTTATTCGGTTCTATGTTTAGATGTGTGGTCCATGACCAAACGTTAATAGATGTCAAGCAGATGTTCAAATATCGCTTCCAATTCCCTCCTGGATGACAGTTTCCCACCACCACTCCGTATCGAAACTATGAACCTTTCCTCAACCTATTTCCTGATGCTCTAGCCATCGCAGAGGACAATCAGCGGTAGCCTGTCTGCTGCATGGAGCGGAGTGGATAGGGGTTTGGATGATACTACTAAGACCTTCCCGTCTTACGCGTTTACACCCTTATCATCCCGTTTCAACTTCAATATTATCTCCCCCCGTTTTCATCCCCAATTCTTCGCCCATCCCCACCATGATTTGAAAGGCCTTTATCTTCTAGTTTGAACTCACATGTAAACGCGGAGTGTCACTCTTGCCCTATCGACAAGCCCATTTCTAACCAAGCGGTGAAGCCCAGTTCATCGGCTACTACTTGGAGTCCCCAATCCTCCCTCAGGTTGGCATGCGTCAAGGTACACACATTGTTTCAGTTCGGTCAACAGACAGCACTTATTCTCAATCCATATCTGCTGTGTACAGGAAACCCGCCTATAAGACCCGAGCACTGTACTGACCTTGCGATCCCTTCAGGTGACAGTGGCAGTGCTTTCGCATTGCGCCTATCCGGAGACAACACAGCTTGTTGTACCAGCCAAACTGGTGTTGGTATTGCTCTGAGTCCCCCGGCTGAATCTGCTCTTGTTGATTGGATCCGCATCAGTAGCCGGATGCGTGCGATCCTCACTGGCCTTCGTGC